TCACCTGACTGCTGGCAGGGGTAAGACCATGCTCCCCCAACTCAATATACCCTTGACTTGCTTGATGCCACGATAGTGAAGATGGAAAGTCAAAGGATGAAAGCTCTCATCTCCCCCCACGATGCCAATTATTGAACATCCATGGCGATGAATAGCAAGTCTGAAGACATTTATGGAGTTACCTGGGGCTCTGGATACAGTACGATCTCAATATCGCCACCGATAACAACCTTGAGTAATGAAGTGCTCACACAGCTGCAGTGTATACATCACCAGACGCTGCCACTGCTTATGATGACCGCCTTTCCACAATTTTTAATTACAAAGGCGTCCATTCGGGACAAGTATGGAAGCGGTGGACTAGCGCTATCATGGGATTTGATATAGAGAATGAGCCAATGCTCCTTGACGAGAAATATGAGCTCGGTGATCCAGCTTGATGGACCTGCGCGCGTGCTGTACACATGTGCTCCGAGCTTGGTGCCGAGAACCTAATCAAAATAGCTTCTGGGGGAGTTGGTGGTTCAAACGAGTATAACGCGAAATTCGCCCCGTGGGTTGTCTCATGCCCCAGATTGGACATCGTCAGCGTTCATTACTACTATGATGGTGGTTGGGCTGATCATGACGACATTGTGGAAGGTCAGGGAAAGCTGGTTCTCATTGAGGAATGGCAGTCTATCCAGGGGAATGGACAAGCGTCGCAATACTCCTCGAACGCCTAGCAGATTAATGAGATCGCTATCCCCTGGATAATATGGCAAATTCTACCCCATCAAGTCTGCGATGCTTCGTCAGATACAGACCACACTGGTCTTGTCGTTGATGGTGGAATCGACGTGGCTGGGCCAATGCAAGTCGCTGATACAACGTCTGCAGCCCAAGATTGTGATTGCTCCCACGCATTGCCTCTTTGTCCAAGAGTCTAAACTAATGCATGTTCCAAGGACCGGTGTCATCTATAGCTAATTCTAACCGCGTTTCGGTCGGACTTTGCTGCAAGCGGCAGCAGAAATATGAGTAGAGAATATCTATAGGTAATCAGATCAGTTGGGAGTATCTGGGTTAGCACTATTTTGTCAACGTTGATAAACCGAAATGATGATATGAGGATATACAGAGTCACAACAAAGCCCAGACTACAGATCTGACCAGAACTGACATTGTAAATTGGATTGTATGCTGGGCTTCGCGTCGTGCCAAGGGTCACAGCAATATAAAAGAAAATCAGCCGCAAGGACTCCCGTTTACCCCTGAGTACGATTCAGGCTAATCGCGCGCCCGCTCACCTGCGTGGTCCAGCACCCAGGTTTAATATGATCTATTTTTCTAGCTTGCTCACACTGCGCATTGAACCATTCACCAGGAATTTATACGCTTGTACCTAGCTCGAATTAATGCTTCGCAAAGTTCGGTACATCCGGTCATACGGGTCACTTTTCCCATTAGAGTAGCTTGCGTGCCGAAATATATCATCGTGAGGAATGCCTATATTATGACCGCACCTGCCCGCGTTGGCAATCTGAGATCTGAGAAGGACAAGATAAGGGCAGTGTGTAAATCCCAAGTTAGCTTCCTACTGGAATCCATCATGCATTTTACGTACCATTTCATCACGGCTCTGAGCGCAGCCGCTGCTGCTTCAGCTAGTGTCGTACGGTAAGGTTCGGATCGCGAATCTGGTATCTATGGATGCTCATACCATGTAGACTCGATGTTCGGCAAAATAACAACCTCAACGCCGCCATGGTTGCCAAAGGCAAACAATACATTGGCACTTCCTTGACCATCCGGAATGATAATTCAGAGACCAACATCATTAAATCCGAGTTCGGATCTATCACACCCGAGAACTCGATGAAGTGGGATGCGACCGAGCCAAATCGTGGACAGTTTTCATTTGGGGGTGCTGACCAGGTCGCCAACTTCGCAAAGCAGAACAACAAGCAAATGAGATGCCACACGCTCGTCTGGTATAGCCAGCTGCCGAACTGGGTTTCAAATAGTAACTTCAACAATGCCACGCTGATCTCAGTCATGACCAATCATATTAATACTGTGATGGGTCGATACAAGGGGCAATGCACCCACTGGGATGTTGTCAACGAAGGTTCGTATTCGGCGATTTCAGGGGGGCAAAGCCGATGCTAACGAGTGAGGAAAGCTTTGAACGAGGATGGTACATACCGTGATAATGTCTTCTTACGCGTGATTGGCGAAGCATACATCCCTATCGCCTTCAGGCTTGCTGCAGCGGCAGATCCGACGGCTAAGCTTTACTACAATGACTACAACCTAGAGTACGGGGAGGCTAAGGCCCTGGGAGCAGTGCGAATTGTCAAGCTCGTACAATCGTATGGCGTCAAGATCGACGGCGTTGGTCTGCAAGGCCATCTTGTCGTTGAGTCTACTGGTACTCAGTCTACGCCGACCCCTGCGCAAGATGTTTTAGAGAAGACCCTTCGTCTGTACACCGACCTCAACGTCGATGTTGCCTACACTGAGGTTGATATCCGTATGAACACCCCAGCGACGGCGGCAAAGTCCCAGGCTCAGTCAGCCGCCTATGGACGTGTCGTCGGTTCGTGCATGAATGTCCCGAGATGTGTGGGTATCACTATATGGGTAAGCGGCCACGAGTGCTTGTTTTGAGAGACAATCATCTAATGTAATCAATCGCAGGGTATCTCGGACAAGTATAGCTGGGTACCTCAAACTTTCAGTGGCGAAGGATCCGCCCTTCTCTGGGATAACAACTACTCTAAGAAACCAGCATACACTGGATTTCTCAATGCCATCAATGCTGCGAATAGCACGTCAAGTGCCTAAGCCATGGTCGAGCAGTATCGTGGTGGTATTAGTGCACATTTGTGGAAATTGATTTGTATTGATTTCTGTGTAAAAGGCGTTGCATTTGAATAACTTCTATATTTGAGATCCATGATGTTGAGCGTTGTTCTCTCTTTCTCCGCCCCAATAACGGCTAGTTGAGTGAGACGAAGATTTCCGGTCGTCGTCAACGAGATAATGGTTTATTGGAAAGAAAGTTACTCAGACCACTTGACGCTATGCAAGAATGTTGAGCTTGACACTAGAGGCGGCTTTGATTTTTAATTACACGCGAGTTAGGTTACCGACCTGTCGCCGATAAAAGGAGTGCCCCATGTCGTTATTGGCGTTGTTTCGTATGCTGACCTGGACGAGGCCGGCGACCAGAAACCGGTAGCTGTTGGGGACTTTTAAGGATTACTGATCATAAAATGAATTGACCCGAGCTAACAGATGTGATCTGTTCTCGGACCTTTGGAGCCCAGTAAATAGGCTGGAACGGAAAGTGAGTTACGGAAATTGTTAGTACTAGTTAATGCTCTACACATTCCGGATTGCTCGAACAGGGCCCAGTACAGCCAATGATAGCTTCACAGAGACTAGGCCTTGGCTGACGGGATCTCCTCAAGGCACAAGCCTGGCAAGAAGGGTAGGCAGCATTACTCAGCGACAAAGCATCGTTGCTTGCTGCACACGCGTTTACTTCCCTTTAATGTTTGTCTGAGTCCTTGTTCAGTTCAGCATCTCCGTGATTGATTGTGACTGGTTACAGACATTTGCCTGTTCCTATGCCTGTTCTTGGTCAGCAACCACCTCGCCGAAGTAGTGCTTTGCGACACACACAGACTGAGATCTCTCCAGGCCACATGGCATTCTCCGGCTCCAACCTCTCCTCAGGAGGATTCAATATTACTTGAGCACGACCCACGGCTTGGCTCTGTGGCACTTCAGCCCTTCCATCCATCCACCAAATCCAATCAGACTGCGCCTCCTTCACATCGTACAGACTGTTCCAAGAATACCCAGGCCACTTCAACGTTCAGGATTGACACCTTCGGTATTGTGGATTCTCGCCATCTCAACAAAAACTTCGCACTCTAATCTCGCCCAGAGCCATTGAAGACTGGCTTTTCTGCCCTTGATCATCCAGTATTCATTGATCTCGTAGCCTCATTACCGGTCGCCATCCGCTGGCCCTGTTTGGAACTGTGCGTTCTTGGGACCCACCACTGTCACCTCCTCTGACCAGTATCGCCATCACTCAGCCCTACCAACAGAAGTGAGGCCCCCACTTTGCCTGCCATTTGCTCTGGACAGAGATCCAAAGACGACAGTCTACTCCATTACTAGACATAACCCCATCAGAAATCGTGGATCTCTAGGGTAGCTTATAAGCTATAGACCTCAAGCCCACCACTCCAAATTTGGGGTCCAAGTTCATCACCTGAACGATAGGTCTATCGAGACTCCCCTACTTGGAGTCTGATCATGCGCCTGATGCAGTCGGATCTTGCTATCCTCAATGCGGAGCAGTATGATGTCGGCGTCCACTTCCCAGGCACGCGGCCAAGGAAGGCCCAGGCATCGACGCACACTGAGGCTGGCCCTCGCAAGAAGATGAAGACTTCTGTCACCGTTGCTGAGACTACGGAGCACGAGGAAGAAGAGAAAAAGAGATCCAGGGGACGGCCCAGGTTGGACACAAAGGATGAGACCGCCGCCGAGGTAGGTTACTCTTCACCTTATCATTCTGTCTCTTGATTTCGCAGTGTCATACCCTGTACCATCATCGCGAATGGACTGCCTGTCAAAGTCATCTTCTATATTTCCTCATTCCACCATTCAAAGCAAGATCTGACAGAGAACAGCGGCGTCGAACACAGATTCGGCTAGCCCAGCGGGCTTACAGAAATCGGAAGGAGAATGCAATCTCCACATTAGAGAAGAGAGTCCAGGAACTGAAGGAGACCAATGAGGAAATGAGCAACGCATTCATGAAGCTTCACGATTTCGCCGTCAGTAGCGGATTGCTCGAACAGCTCCCGGAATTTGGTCGTCAGCTACGATCTACGACAGAGATGTTTCTAGCTCTTGCCAAGAAATCTGCTGAGGAAAATGACAAGGAGCACAGCCATAGCGCCAGTCCTGAGCACGAGGCCGAGGAGTCAAGCGTTGATGCTCTGTCCAAGCGTGTACATCAAGATGCGGTGCCATCATCGCACGTGTCTACCAGACAGACTCCGGCTGCTCCGGCTCAGCTATATGGAGGATTTATGGTCAGCCACGAGTCTGTTACACACGCAGACATGGTTGAACCTATGCTATCCACGACATACCAGACCCAGGAAGATTCAATGAACACAACAAATACCGACCTAGGTTACGAAATTGTTACAGTACCCACCCTCGAGAACGCCTCATTTCCTTTTGGCCTGAACCCGGACTCACCCTTCGGCGATATATTCTCACACAACCCTTCCCACCATAGTCCTCTTCACACGCCTCTACTACCGATTCCTAACACATACGCTTACCAAGAGTCTACTTTTGGACGCCGGCTGCAGAGAGTTGCTCTCGAGAAGGGTTTACAGCTGATCACTATGCCCAACCCACCAAAGGAGGCGTTTGCCAAGGTCTTTGGCTTCTGCATTCTGTTCGAACCTATCGAGAAGATAAAAGAACGTCTTCGTGCTGGCCTGAAAAAATCGAAGGAAGAGAGTATGCACTACTGGCAGTTCCCTTTCCTGCAGCTTGGTGGTGCTGGTTCACACGTCCCTGGCTTTAGCTCTACCACCACGCCGCCGAACATGAGCCCTTTCCAATCTGGTGAAGATGGTCACCGCATCGGTAGCAGTGGTACCATCGAGCGGTTCAAGCATCCCAATGCGTCGTCTGGGTTCGGAATTGGGCCATTCACCGAGGCGGTTAGTGAGGCTCGGGATAAGCGTATTGGCTCTCGCATGCGTATCAATCTCCCCGGGTTCCAAGGTGACTTCTACGACAGTGACGAGGTCGAACTTTACCTACAAGAACGAGGCGTTTCTATCGGCGCCGCACAAGACTTTGTGACAGTCGAGGTAGACATGAATTTATTTGATGACGAGGCCGACGGCCAATCCCTGATGCTATCTCACTCAACCACTCCACCGCCGGCGAATATATTCGGATCTAGCAGCGCGGATCTAGGAGGTTTTACCGGGATGCACGGGCTTGATGCCTCCAATGGGTTCGGCGCACAAAACATGCACTCTACTGGAAGCCTATCAAGCTCGAGTCTGAGCCCGCACCAAAGTCCAGGAAGCAGCTCGGACGACACTACCATCCTGACCATGCCCGACGCGTCTGTGATCGGTAACTGGCCGAGCAGTATGCTTCTTCCCACAACGACAGCAGCAACGGTCGATGACCCCATGGCGAACATGTTTGCTACAAGTGGCGCTGGGGCATTCGGCGACAGCAACTTTTTCGCATTTTCTGGACTGGATGCAAACCAGGGAAGCAAGAGAATTGTAACGATTGATGTGAATCGCTTCATTCAAGGTAAGATTCAAGCACACAATTTGAATAGATGAACGTTGGCTAACATATCTTCAGAACTTGTCGAGCGGACTACATGCTTGGGTCGGTCTCCGGGCTTCCGGCCAAAGGATGTGAATACTGCTTTCTGGATTGCCACGCGAAATGGTTAGGTCGCATCCTCATGTCTATATGTACTATATTTATGGCGCAATGTACTGAGCGTGTACTTTGAATTGGGTGGGACTTTGCTTCTATGGAGTATTGAAACAGGCCATGGGCTGATTTGACGGGTTTGATGGAGTTCCTGCGTGGGACGCTGGTGAAATACTGCGATGCGAAATAAACTCAATCACATCAAGGCCCACGAAAAATTATGAAGACTTTAGCTGGTAGACATGCCATCGGCGAATCTAAACAATCGAGTTGCCCATTGTGTAATGTACAGTGTGGAGATCCACGAACAATACATTAGAGCGTTGACATCTATCGTTTGAGTGAACCTGTTGGTATCATGTAGCCCTTGCCTGGCGCTCTGCCTCCTCTTTCTCTGCCAGCGCCGTTTCTCTCTCCACAATCTCGAATAGTGCCCTACCTCGCGCAATCAAGTCATCCCTTTCCTCCTCTAGCTTGTCCTTAAGATACTCGATGCCGATTTGCACACTCTCACTGTAGCAATCCCTTCGGCCGTCGTCTTCATGCCAATAGCGCCCCTCGCGCACCGCCAACGCCCTCATCTCTCGATCCCACGCGTCCTCTTCCTCTGCCTCATCTAGGCTTTCCTCTACCAGGCTCTGAAACAACGTGATGCGCGCCTGGCGTTTGTCCAGCTTCGTCCGCAACACGCGTGACAGCGCCGGCGACTGGGGCTTGCGCACCCATAGGAAGGGTATCTCGTTCGCCCGGTACAGCCTGGGAACCTTGCGCACGCCGCCGGACAGCTCGGCTAGTGGTCGTGGTCTCACGGTCGGTTCGTATACTGTGTCCGGGCCAGGGAGGCGTCTGATGACCGGAATGTTGTCGGGGTGGGCTGCGGTCGATATCGGTGGAGGCCGGGGGGGATAAGTAGCTAGATTCTTCTTGTAGTTCGCGAGACGACCCTCGAGGAATGTTAGGATGGAGGCGTGTTCGGGGCTCGAGGAGCTGCGCGCCGCGGATAGGAGATCGAGAAATCGGTAACCATTGCGCAGAGCGGCCGTGACGAGCCGCGGGCTAGTGTCGGCCTTGTTGCGCCGGAACCCCGTGCGGATGTAATGCTTGATTGGATTGACTTCGCCCCAGCCAGTTGCGATTTCATCGGGGAGAGCTATTTGAGGAACTTGGCGGAGGAGCGCTCGGTAGAGGGCAAAGCCTGGTTATGGATTAGGTGCTGTCGATTGTACGGATATTTAAAGCTACACCCACATGCTGTGCGATGCCGCGAGCTGCGGGCAGGTATGAAGTATGACGGCATTCATTGGAGTTCGCGAAGAGCCGGCTTTTGGGTTGCCTTGGAGCTCTCGTAGGCTTTTTGAAAGAGCTCCAAGCTCAGTTACAGATATTTGCAGATACTCATTTGAGAGTCACGTGCTATCACTTGGTTGCTGACAATACGACAACAAAGTCACCTAACACAAGGATGTATTGCTTGAGGTTAAGAGCCAAAGCCAAATTCCACGCCAGAGACCCCCGTAAATGCAGACGTAGATACAGCATGTTCGCTGCCAAGAGGAAAAGTCCGCCATAATTCGTAGTCCCGTCATCAAGCACCGTGACAACTCGGTCTTGCTCCAGCTTCGACTTTGACAGAAGGCTTAAAGCCATGCTCAAAGTCCCTCATAGATTTATGTCCTCACAATCATCAAGTCTTTCATTGCCATATGGGCCGATCTCGCTAGTCTTTGTATATGGCATACTTCGATCCCTCGGGCGGCTGCTGCAGCTTCTTGTGCTCATCCATATACCTAAAAGACTGATTAGTTTCGAATCCTTTTAGTTCCATGCACCGTACTGACTTCCGTATTGCAATGAGAGCAGACTCCAAGCTCAGAGGGTCATCTTTCGGGCGGGGATTCCTCGACAGTTCGGTCGAGATCCTCTCCCAATCCCGCAGAATGCCAACAAAATTCTTGTCGACTAAACCGTTTTGCTGGTTGACGCCGGGGAGGTTGATTTGGCTGACGAAGTAGATGACGGGAGGCTCCCTGGGATAGTTCGGGCCGCACTCCATCTTCAACTCGTAGATTCGGTTCTCGTGGTTGCCCTAGGAGAAGGAAATGTTAATCGGGAGGTGGTGACGTCTGGACGAAGATCGGATATACATGAGGAGGCCCCCAGATAGTTCCTCGCCAGTTGCTCATGTAGATATCTTCAGGATCCTCCAAGCCATACGAGCAAGCACCTAGCGAATACCAGCACCATTAGTTTTGTGAACGATCATGGCCTGACCCCATGGAGACATGTCCAACATACCTGCGCCCATTCCCTTCTCGCCCTTCTCTAGCTCAGCAAGGAGCTTGAAGTTGCGCGGCACTTGAGCAACCGCCATGGTGAATCTGCAGCACTGTCGGGGGTGTTGATGCTGGGTGGCTTGGTTTGTCGGCGGCGATGAGGAGGTTTCGATGCGACAAGATGACGGCACCGGGTGACAGGCTGGGCAATTTCCAAGGCTGTCGAGTGGTGGAGCAGTCAGTCACTGACGGTACCTACCTAATGTCAGGTGGGGTGGACACTGCACGGAGGGGTAGACTTTGGGCGGTGAGACGATTCTGCCAGGTCAAAGTGCTAGGCGCCACACCCCCTAGCTGACAGTGGGCGCCTCGAGCAGTTGACAGCTGGCGCGTCTTGACTCTGACGGCCTTCATCGATCAAGTAATAATAGTTCCCCTTTCCAAGAAACGCCATTCTGGACCCAGCGTAGAGGCCATGCATGTGGATATTAGGACTCACAGAAGACTGCGGAACCATTGACGGCCAATATGACGGCGCAGCTTCTGGCGAATGAGCTTGCGAATCTCATTCAGGAGAGCAAGCGCAAGCACAACGACCTCCGCCAGGTATATCCGTCCCCGTCCCCGGTCAAGTCCCGGATCTGCCCCTGACGATGACCAGCACAAGGCTAATGACCACGCAGGCAGCCGAGAAGTCTTTGGAAGAGCTAAAGAATCTCAGAGCTTCATCTGAGGCCCAGATTGGACCAGGTCAGCATTGATTCTGAGCACTACTGCCCTAGGTGTAAATACTCATTCATGCAGAGCTCTCACAAAGGGTCAACTTTGCCAACCCTTTCATTATCGCTTGTGGGACCAAGAATGCGAAGTTCACGGGCATCGCCATTGTGTGCCTCCAACGGCTCATAGTGGCCCAAGCATTACCACGTTCCAAACTGAGTCAAGTCCTGGAAGCTCTGCAGCAGGCTACCTCCGCCGGCCTCGATGTCCAGTTGAAAATCCTCCAGGTTCTGCCGTCTCTGTTGCAGAACTACTCAACTGACCTAAAAGGCGATCTCCTAGTAACAGCGTTGACTGTCTGTTTCATTTTGCAGTCTAGCAAGAATGCGATTGTCAACAACACATCCGCGGCCACTCTGCAACAATTGATTGTATCCGTCTTTGATAAAGTCGTCGCAGAGGACCGCTCCAGCTCCGAGGCTCCTTTCGTAGGGGAGGCGCCAACTCAGAATGGCACTGTTCAGCTCAGGGCTGCCGCATTGGATGCTTTTCGGATATTCAACGACCTGTGTCTTTTGACACAGTCTCAGAGACCTGAGTACTTGAAGTTTTCTGGTCTTCCTCAAACCTTCGGCCTAGAGCTAATCGAGTCTGTCTTGACAAACCATGCCTCAATCTTCTTGGCCCATCCTGAGCAGGCTCATGTGCTCCAGACAAAGGTCATGCCGTTCATCATTCAATCATTGTCAGGGAGGCCTAACTTTGCCACCTCTGTCAGACTTTTCCGCATCTTATATACCTTGCTTAGGAGGCATCTGTCCATTTTGCCCACAGAAAGCGGGGAAGCACTGAGAATCTTGACCTTAATCTTGGACCAAGATTCCGCATTGTGGAGAAGATCGTTGTGCATGGAAGTATTCCGTGGAATATTTGCAGAAGCCGGGCTCTTGCGGCGAATATTCATGCTCTACGATGCTAAAAAAGACGAAAAAAATGTCTTGAAAGACCTCACGGCAACCTTTGTTCGAGTCAGCACTGAGAAGCCAGCGATTATCGGCCTTGGCCATCAGTCGACCATACCGGTCGCAAATCCGTATGGCAGCATCGGCTCATCCACTGATCAGGCTATGCTGGAAGCCAGTGGTGTCTCTGGTATCATTACCGGTTCTGTCGGGGGCGAGGGACACAATATTGGCATCAGCACGCAGTGGAGCTCCATGCGTGTTCCTTGTATCGACCAGTTAGACAAAACCGAGGCTCCTACAATTCCCGAATCATACGTCTACAGTCTAACTCTTGCCTGTATCACCTCCCTCTCCGAAGGCTTAGCCAAATTTATCCTGCCATTGACAGTCCCTGGTGAGAGTCGTCGCAAACGGTCCGGTAAACAATGTACAGGTCTCGATACCCAGGCGCCGGCAGACGAAGAAGGTCCCCCGACGCCGACAATTAAGCTGCCACTGGAGAGGTCCGCGTCTTTCAAGAGAAACCCGGTGCCCATCAATCCTTTGTCTCTGGAAGACCACCCACTTCAGGCAGAGGTTAAGATCTGTGCGGCCATTATAGACGAATGCTGGCCCGCAATTCTGGCGACATGTTCGACATTCCTATATGCTGCGCTAGACTCCGAATACTACCACAGCCTAGTAAGAGCCTTCCAGAGGTTTGCACATGTCGCAGGGCTACTTCAATTGACAGTCCCACGAGACGCATTTTTGACCACTCTTGGTAAAGCTGCTGTGCCACCCAATGTCTTCACGGCGTGCTTGAACTCCGGCCAACAAAGGCCATCTACTCCGACAGCTGCTGTGGAGACTCCTAACAGTATTTTGAGCAATGCTAGAGGCCTGCTCAGCGTTGACAGCCTAGTCAGTCAAACGTCAATCAGTGCCGACAAACCCAGACAGCAGTCATTTGATGCTAGTCTCTCAACACTCAACACACGGAATCTTCTTTGCCTTCGAGCTCTGCTGAATTTAGGTATCGCTCTGGGTCCCACATTGGGTGACTCCTGGAGGATTGTGCTGGAGACGCTTCAACAAGCTGACTTCGTGTTGTTCACAACGGGCAAATCCGGCGGGCGCACTCCAACAGCTGCGAAGGGACCAGATCAACAAGCAGATAGCGAAGCCAATACGCTTCTTGCCAACTTCAGCACCGAAATCAAATCGGTGGAGACAGCGGCCTCGAGGCTATTCGAGAGCACGATTGACTTTCCGAACGACGCTTTCCTTGAAGTTGTCAATGCTGTGTGCAATCTGCTAGAGAGGCGCACAGAGCCAGTATCTGAGCCAGCAAGCAGACCTCAATCCCCGCCCTCTGCAGGTGCTACGTTGAGAACACCCTCGGGGCAACATAGGAGAGTTCTCAGTATCTCAACTGCAGCGTTGACCGGTCCCAATCAAGAAGATCAGTTTGCGCTTGCTAAGCTAGGCGACATTGCTAGCATTAATCTAGACCGCCTCCTCACGTACTCTCCGGAAGCTTCAGGATGGACGCCGTTGACTTCTGAATTGATCAGCGCTCTCACCTCAACCTCGATGACCTCTGCTGTTCGTATACGTGCAGCGGAGACTCTCGTGCGACTCATACTCGAAGCTGCAAATGCGGTAACGTCTCGATCTGAAGAAACCCGTGGCAAAGTGCAACTACGTTTACTAGAAGCTTTTCGAGACTCTCTTCTCCCTCTGCAGACCGAAGATCGCGAGGTATCCGTTGCTAATCATTCAACGGATGTGGATATTCACAGGATCGTCCTTGAAGGCCTCAAAAGCATCCTTGAGAACTGTGGCGAAACCCTTCTCAGTGGATGGGATCTCGCATTTGAGATCATTGACAGCATCTTTATCAGCAGGCGTTTCGGGTCTGAGGACCGGCGTGGCCCTCAGTCGCAACCAGAGGTGCTGATGACACGATCCGTCAAGCTTATCAAGTCCTCCTTCAGCTCCCTCCAACTCATCTGTTCTGATTTCTTAGCGTCCCTACCCAATGCTTGCTTCCTACGCCTTGTTGATACCCTGTACAAGTTTTGCTCCCAAGATGATGATCTGAACGTCGCTTTGACAGTAAGTGACCCGATTTCGTTACTTGACTCTACATGCTGACGATTCAGACTGTCACCTTTTTCTGGGTAATCTCAGACTTCTTATCCGAGAAGAGCCGATCAATGTCTATAACAGAGGCCATGGTCGATGGCTTCAACGATAAAGCATTAGTTGATCTTGCCTCGAATCCCAGCGAAGAGAGCTCAGGGGCCGCGCTATGGCTGCTACTTCTGTTACGGCTTACCACAGTCACGGCGGATCAACGACTGGAGCTGCGAAATAGTAAGTGCTAAGCGATATACCATAATTGTTCTATTTGATTGATACCTCTAGGTGCGATACAAACCTTGCTTCGCATCATACACGCCTATGGCAGCAACCTTGGTCCCGAAGCCTGGTCAATATGCATCAAATCGGTCATTTTTAGGCTACTCTCGTCCATCGAAGCACATCTTGAAGCGGTACAGCACGAGTCATCTCGTGGGAATGCCAAGAGCGAGTGGGACGAGACGGCTGTTGTCATCATACAAGGTGTATCAAGCCTTCTCGCAAGCTACTTGGATGTATTAACGGCCTACCCAGCGTTTACCGCGCTCTGGCAATCCCTTCTCGGGCATTTTGCAACGATGCTTGATTTTAAGTCTCTTGAAATTAACACCGCAACGTTCTCAAGCCTTGGGAACATACTTTCGAAATGTGAAGAAGGCCCCAGAGTGAGCTTTGACAAGAAAACAATTGACTTAGCATGGGATCTCTGGTCACGAGGGATTCCAGTTGCGCCGCAAGGGGAGGGTGGCAAGTTCGAGGATAATCAGAAATGTCTTTTATCTTGGGTTGAAGCTCTCTTGGAGCTTTATCGGCTCATCAGAAACGACTTAGAAGTGGAGAGAGTACAGCGGATGCTTAGTCTCTTGCGAGACGCTATGCAGGAAGCTACGCCGGGCTCATATGCCAGCGATATTGAATATGTGACTCCACTCCAGGGACGAATATTGGAGGTCTTCAAACTCATTCGCACCGATATCCATGGTGTTCCGTCTGCAATGATCACTCAAGTCGCGGACTTTGTTTCCCTGGCCTTCAGCGACGAAAGGCTTGCTCAGAGCAGCTCAGTCAAACGGACATACATTGCCATGTCTAAAGAGAGCATGGGCATTCTGCAGTACCATATACTGAGCAACGCTTCTGACTCTGATATATATGCAACAGGCGCATTCTCCGCTGCCTTATCTGCCCTGTCAAAGCCAATGATGCTAAAGTATAGCTTTCCGATTACAACCAAATCGGAACCGCCATGGAGGGTGGCGACAACTTCAGCACTCGCTGCCTTGGAGGCGGCCCTTCCTCAATTGGGTGCAGCCAATGTATCTCAAAACACATTCCAGGATATCTGGCAGATCATTGTTAATATTGCCAACGGGATCATCAGCGCGGATTATGACAAGGCGACGACAGAGGTCGACATCCTTGCTGATCAGGACTTCGACATCAACTCTTTTCGAAAGCTTCGAGATCTCATCATTCCTTCGCTAGGTGCTGATGTCATCCCGGACAAAACTCGGAAGGCATATGCTGAAGGGCTCTTCCGGACATCTATCATACATGCGCCAGCCCCGGCCGAAGCCGCAGTCATCTACGGAAGCAAGTCTAACGGCAACGAAGGTGTTGGTCTGAGCAACTTCTTCAAGCCGCGTAATGGCAGGACCATTGATCCTCCTCCTACTAGAAGACAGAAGATGAGTTATGTGTGTCTTGAGGAACTCTTCTCGCTTGTGAGCGCCCATGACCAGTCCTCTACGGCACCGATGATTTTACTGCAGCCACCTACACCGAGATTCCCTCCAGGTGCTATGACACTACCTAACTCGCCAAAAGCCCTTACATCAAATTCTCAACCAAAATCTGACGCAGAAACAGCACATGCACTTCACGTTCGCCTAGCAGGAATTGTCGCGCCATATCTTATTCTTCGCTGTGCTCTCACGTTTCGAGGTTTTGTCGCCGATCAGCCTCTGCGTGGGAGAATGCCGCAGCCACTATCACAGAGGAAAGAGTTGGGGCGCATACTGACAGCTTTGGTGGAGTTGAAGAGTGAGCCGGACGCAATACCTGACTTACAGAACGTGGAGAGCGACTCGAGGAAGCACCTTCTACGGCTCTACCCACTGTTAGTAGCCGCTGTTCAGGTTGCCGGAAAGTCTGGGGATGAGAAACTGCTCAACCTTCTCACCGACGCCTTGAATGTTGTTGGGGCTGAGATAGGTATCTGAGAAATATTCTATATACAGATAGGTGAGGTCAATACGAAAATATGAAATGGTTCTAGCAGGAGCACTGGCACCCTCCCCCCCTTAGCCTTAACATGATCTCGCGCCAATGCACCCGATGAAATTGAACTGATCCTCTGTATTTTTTGGTAACTTTTCATCGCATAATTCTAATAAGCCTCGCCCAGGCGGCTCGATGTCTGAGCAGTGAGTTAAGTAGAGTACATTCATGATATTGCCGCCCTTGGTCATGTGTGACGCCATGCCTTTTTGCCTCCTGCTATTAAATTTTACCGAGGGTAGATGTTATACAGCGCCCAACTTTCATTGCCTTGTCGTCGCCTTGTCAAAGTCTGCCACAATACTGTCCCTAGCAGCCTGGCTGGAAGACTTCTCCTCAATTGGCTCAGATGCCTCGGCACCATCCTCCTTGGAAGCGAGCTCCTTAGCAGCGATCTCTTTGGCCATAGTCTGAGCCTGAGCACTGCCAACCTTGCCATACACGCTGAGTGCAGTGGCGATCATGCCACCGATATCTCCGACGTTGCCTGGTACCACAACCGCGGTGCCTTCCTTCGCCAGATTGCCGAACGCGTCCACGTACTTCTCCGCAACTCTGAGGCTGACGGCTCCTTGAGCTGCACCCTGACCTTCTTCGATGCTGCGAGCGACCGCCGCAATGCCGGACGCCGTCGCCTTTGCCTTCATGAGGATGGCCTCTGCCTCACCGGATGCGCGGTTGATCTGCTCGGCCTTCATGGCTTCGGATGCCAGGATGACGGACTGCTTCTTACCCTCGGCGATGTTGATGGCGCTCTGGCGCTGACCCTCGGACTCGAGAATTTCCGCTCGCTTGGAACGCTCAGCCGTGACTTGACGGTGCATGGCTTCGACAACGGCGGCCGGTGCATGGATGTCTCGGATCTCGTAACGCAGGCAGGTTACACCCCATGCCTGTGCTGCCTCGTTGATGGCGGCTGTGATATTGATGTTCAGAGCGGCGCGCTCTTTGAGGACGTGGTCGAGTGTCAGCTGGCCGATCTCGCTACGCATTGTCGTCTGCGCGAGCTGGGAAATGGCGTACTCGGCGTCCTCGACACCGTAACTGTGGGCACGTTCAGCATTTGTCCAACAACAAGCTATCAGTCGTGAAATCTGACCTCGCCTTATACGCATCGAAAACTCTTGTGTACAACACGCCGTCCAGCTCCAAGGTGACGTTGTCTGCAGTAATGGCACTCTGCGACGGAATCTCAATTGCGGCTTCCTTCAACGACTTGACATATGCAATACGGTCGAGGAATGGTATCATGACAGCCAATCCAGGCTGTAGGATGCGGTTGAACTTGCCCATGCGCTCGACTATCCAAGCTGTCTGTTGCGGCACGAATCGGATGATCGTGTTTCTCGGAAGGGAACCTTTTCCAAAGTACACTGGGAAAGCGCCTCCCGTGCCAGTTGACGATGAGGTTCCTAGCGAGGATATATTCGAAGCGAGGTATCTACTCGTCTGGTGGAGACTTCGTCGTTGGGTGCTGTTGTCGAGCTTCGAGCATTTCGCGCCATTCGCATTGCGCAAGACCACCGGGGCTAGGAGTCGCGCGGCGTTCACTGCCAGGCCCTGACGGGCGGCTGGCACGAGCGCAGCTGCAGCTGTCTTCTGCATTAGAATCAACGACATGGTCACCGACTCTGCTGCATTGGCAGATGGTGGTGTGTTTGACTGTGACCGGGAAGGTTTGGAGGTGAGTAGGCGAGCTCAGCCGTTGAAGCTTCGGTTCGCTTCGCTTCGAAATTCGGCTTGGGGAAAATCAGCTGGCCGCTGATACGTCACATTGAGGACGCCTGCTCGGGATGTGGTCTAACCTCGCACGCTTACCTAAGCTCAACGCTATTAGTGCCGGTTGTCGGCGAATAGTTAGAGCGGGTCACCAGCCACGATTTCCTGTAAGCGCCACATCTCAGGGGCTCCCAGATGCCAGACGGAACGATGGCTACAGGAGCTCATGAGGTCATTGACTCGGTATACACCAAAATCATGCCGAAGAATGTCGCTATTTTCGACCGAGAAGTTTTTACTATTCCATTCCCTTTTCACAAAGTTGGTTCCTCGAGTCCAGTTTTGAAAAGGTCTTACACGGCACATTCGGGACAGTAGTTGCATTGGAGAAATCCCTCTAAATTTATAAGTCGATCTCCAAATCATGGCTTCTGAAAAATCTCGGAAATCCCAGGCTCAAACTGAACAGGAAGCACGGCGTCCTTCTCATAACAACGGAGCCAAGAAGACGATTCGCGAGAAGATAGCCGGAGAGCAACACGGTCCAGATGCCAATCCGTCTCAATTGGGTGATCCTGTCAGCTTGAAAGCTGAAGCAAGCGACAATATTCCCACAGATAATGAAGCTGGAAGCAAACCAACGGTGAATAATTCAGCTTCAAGTGGTCATGCGGATGGCAAATTACGCAATGGGGAGACATTACGAGAGAAAGCAGCTAAGAAGATTCATGGGCCAGATGCAAATCCGAGCCAGCTCGGCGATCCAGTCAGCATCAAAGCGGAGACAAGCACCAATATACCGACTGATACTGAAGCGGGAGCAAATAAAATAAGAAACTCGAAACTTTGAGTTTCCATGTGTTATTCAAGTCCTATGGAACATGGAGTTAGGCTTGTACTATCATTGAATTAGCCAGGTCATTGTGACTACCCGCTCTTCAGCAAATCCACAAAGACCAACATTGCGTTCACAAATTTAACAGGCCATGTGTGTCAGGTCACAATTCTTAAATTCATGTTCAATTTTTCAAATTTACAGAAGAACGAAGGCCATGGCCATATGCAACTAGACAATTAGCTTACTAGTGCCAGCTGGTTGGGTGTCTTGTTCGTTTACTTTCGTGTCTGCGTGTATCGCTGCGGCGATGAAGGCAGATATCCCCAAATATCAACAGCATACCCAATCACACATCCTACCTGTGCTCCTTCCTTTGAAAGCCAGACATGATTTAAGCTGTGGGTTCTTTTAAGCTCATTAAAAAAACTCGAGCTGGAAATCCATCTCTTCTCCCTTTCACCTCAGCTTTCATCAACCTACCTCGATCAAACCCACAACCGACGGTACACTTCGCTCGCAGACAGCTCAACTGCCAGCGTTCAAGATGTGCTTTTACCGAATTGCCGTCTGTCCGGTTTGCGAAACCATCAGTCACGAGGTCTTCGTGTACTGTCAGTGGTGCCCTCGCAATCCTGACGAGACTCGCTGCCCCGAGTACACTGAGGGATCTCAGCACCGTGATTTCGGTCATGTGGAAGCCCACGGTTGTATCAATCCGGACTGTCGTCTTTATCAGCCTGGCCATATCCAGATTGAGGGACTGATTAATCCGACCCCCGTTCACCGACATCCTTCACCCCCGGCTACTGCCAACGGCCGTATGGGAGCCGCTGTCGTCTCCCCTGTTGCTGCTGGACACCAAGCCAACGCTAGCGCTTCTTACACTCTCCAGAAGAATCAGACTCCCATGAGACATCGTGCCCATATCATCCATACTGCTCAGAAGCGAGAGAATTCCGATGCGGATTCCTTCCAGCCCTCTCAGAAGCGAAAGAATCCTGGAGGCATTGGAGGCAATCAAGGAGCCGTCCAGTCTTCTCAGACGCAGCAGAACTCTGCAGGCAATGGCGGCAACTCCGGGCCTGTTCAAGCACCCGCTAGACAGTTTCGCCCCTGGACTCCTGAGGAGGAACAGAGCATGTTGAACTGTCGAGCGTCAGGCATGTCCCACGCACAGGTTGCCGGGGTTAGCAATTCCAGACCTGTTTCCCGGACTGAATACTAATATTAATGTAGATACTTGATCGCACTGAATTTGCTTGTCAGACTCGATTTTCCATGGTCACTAAGGCTCAGCCTAAGTCTCAACCGCTCCAGGATAATCCAGCCAACAACAGCTTGATTATCAATGGTACAGCCAGCAGCTTCACAGCCAACAACGTCACAGC